AAGGGAACACTTTATACACCTTATCGCCAGTTGGCTGCAAAATCCACATGGCAGCGAAGTAATCGTGTTTTCTTGTAATGGAGTCTGTAATCGATGTTAGCAGTAAATTAATACGTCAATTGCCAGCTCTCTCCGCAGCGGCGCAACTACTCGCTTTTATGGTTTGCACCGGGGCAAAACAGCGCCGCACCATTTGGAAACAAACTTACCTGCTGCTGGGTGCAGGGGAGGGCCGGAGATGGACGACCGGCATTGTTTAAAATGTGCTCTGGGGTCCCAGAGGTGGAAAATAGGACTTTAGCCGAACGGAAAATAGCCATCAGTTAAGGTCCAAGCGATATTTACTGCTGACCACTCGGGCTGGCCGGCCGTGCAGCAGAAAACGCTCTCTTGTGTGGTTGCGGCCGGCAAACAAATGTGAATAAATTCACGCAACACACTCTCGCTGCGCACTAAAGCAATTACCGTTGCCCCTAATTTGGGAAGTAATAGACGCGCGGGTCTTTACTGCACGATGAGCTGTTAGGCTTTGTTTGCTTGGCTAAACACTTCTGAATAACTTATACGTGCAACAAATCACCACTAATTTTGAAAACAGAATAATTTGAAAATTAATCAGTTGCAAAATTGGAATATAGTTCTTTGTTATTATATCTTGCGTATTATGTCCAGAATCAGGGAAATGGGATTGAACTGATTTAAGTTCTTTATTTAACTCTTTTATCCTTTCGCATTTGTTGAAAATATCACTGTAATTTCAAATCAGGATATTAAAAGTTTAATCAGAAAAATTCAAATTATTCAAAATGGTTTTAACTCATAATTACAAGATATCTGTACCATTTCATTAGCGGCTAGAGGAGAAAAGTCTATATAAATTACTTAAATTAGAACAGCCATCCTGTAATTATCAGTGATCGCTGCGTTTGTATAAATTAAAAAAAAATATTTTTTTAAGTGGAAAAGTTATTGAAAAATACGGATACTAAAAAAATCAACTTAAAATAATTTTAAAGTAAATTAAATATATAATAATTAATTAATATTCTATTTTATATTTATAAATTTAATTCCAAAGTGGAAAAAACATATTTGTATGGAAAATAATTTTTTTCACACTTTGTGCTACAACATACTTTGGTTTCTCTTGCAACTATCTAGTTTCCTGCAAATCTAAACGTACTATCACATTAAAGCGAGGCAGAATCAGAAAACAGGATGTTCCCTGTAGATACTTGCAGCGTTCGTGGAAATGCTGCTCATTTGTTTTCCAACAGTAGCTGTTTTGATGCTACGGAAATGCGCCTGTTTTGCAGGAAATAAAGCAGTGTGCGACATTTGGAGGGACGAGCGGCATGACAAAGAGGTGTATTGACTGCCTAATGGCGGGGAAAATAGGCAGCAGCAATCACGCCAGACACCGTCCAAATGCACCGTCCACATAAATTCGGTCTGCAATACAAATGGCGCAGTCAAATGCGGCCTAGGATGGATAAATGGCGCGGTCGTAATCCGCGGTCGAGAGAGATGCATGGCCAGTGTCCGGTCGGGTAAATAAAGTGGCCGGTATTACGCGTGCTTTAGGGATACACAGAGAAATAATGCGAGTGCCAGAGCACATTGATCACACGCCACGCTGGACGCGACTCTATCTCTCTTGATGACGCCAACTTGAAAAATTTCACTGATTTCCAAGCAAATATATGACTTGATCTTTCCGGCTTCTCTTCCAAGCGATTTTCAAAGCAATTCAAGTAAAAATATTTCAAATTATATCTGTATGATAACAGAAATTATTTAAATAAAAATATAGGAAAAAATTATAGTTTTTTTTATGGCAATACCAATATTTTTTGTACATTAATTTAGTTAGATATAAAGCGACAACGCCAGTTTCTGTCAGCAGCCCTGTGTCTCCTTAATTTAAAAAAAAAAATTATAAAAAAGCAGAAAAGGTAAACTTTAAGGTAACCAAAGAAATGGGATATTTTTTAATTTTTTTTTTTTTTTTTAATTTTGAGCTTTCAAAAAGAACATTAATTGTATCAATCTACTTCCACTTAACATATTAATATTTTTACACTGACCCTAAAATTTTCGGTCTTTGAAGTCAGATCCTTCAAACAGCAATTTTACATTTTTAAATAATGAAAAACTCCCCTAATTCTGATTATAAACAATTCCACCGAGTATATTTTCCTTTGGTCTACTGCGCTTCTGTGTGACAGGCTCAGATTTTACAAATGTGTAGGATGTATGTTTTCCATATATCGGAAATGAGTATTTTTATTAATATTAAATATTTTTATTTAATTGTTTGAAAGCTGCAAAAGTTTTGGCGGAAGTGAATTAACAGTTCCTAAATATTAACTCTTTTTGTGTGGTAAATATTTTTCTTTACCATAATTAATCAAGAATATAAATAAAAAAAAAAAATATTTTACAAACTACGTTAATTTTAATCTGCTTGATACTTGATGTCAGAAACTTGACTGGATAATATAATTTTAATGGTAATAAACAAGAAATAACTGAAAATTTATTATTCGTAATTGGATCATTGCATAAAAAGAAGTTTTGCTCTATATTATTCAGCTCGTATTTTTATTGAATTTTAATTTCCACAATCTTGAAACTTCAATGCTCGATATTCAAAAAGCATACATAATCCCGTCTGCAAAAGTTGGAATGGCTCCTGCTGTTGTAGTAGTTGTAGTACGTGCAGTTGCAGAGGCACGACTTGTCGGAGGACGAATAATTATTGGAGCTCGAGTTGTTTTCGCGGCTCGTGTGGTTGGGGCACGCGTATTTTGAGGTGGAATGATTTGAATTACAAACATTTGATCAAGGGTCGTGGAAGTAAGTGTAGTAACAGCTAGTGCAGTTTGGACCGTTTGAGTAGTTAACGTCGTTTCAATGGTTGTGAGCGCTGGAGTAAGCGTAGTTTGGGGTGGGAGTGTTTGCGTAGCTATAGTCTCTTCAGGGGTCGTTGGATTAAGTGTAGTTGGAGCCCGTGTTGTTTGGAGTTGGACAGTTTGAGTAGCCGTAGTTGGTTCAGGGGTCGTTGAAGTAAGTATAGTTGGAGTAATTGTCGTTTGGGGTGGAAGAGTTTGAGTAGCTGTAGATATTTTAGGGGTCGTTGGATCAAGTATAGTTCGAGCAAGTGTGGCTTGGGATGCGGAAGTTTGAGTAGTCATTGTTGGTTCTGGGGTTGTTTGAGTAAGTTTAGTTTGAACAAAAGATGTGGTTTGAAGTTGGACAGTAAAAGTAGCTAATGTTGGTTCAGGGGTCGTTGGAGTAGGTATGGTTGAAGTAACTGTCGTTTGGGGTGGGAGAGTTTGAGTAGATGTAGATATTTTAGGGGTTGTTGGATCAAGTACAGTTCGAGCAAGTGTGGCTTGGGATGCGGAAGTTTGAGTAGTCATTGTTGGTTCAGGGGTTGTTTGAGTAAGTTTAGTTTGAACAAGTGTCGTGGTTTGAAGTTGGACAGTAAAAGTTGTTAACGTTGCTTCAGGGATTTTGGTATCAGGTGTGACATTTTGAGTAGTTAATATTGATTCAGGGGTTGTAGGTGCAATTGGGGTTAAATCATATGTAGTTTGAGGTGGAACAGTTTCAATGACGAAGACTTCTTTGTCAGGGAGGGATTGATTATCGAAAAATTTTGTGGTTTCGGGTTGATAACTTTGAACATCAAGAGGTTCTGTAGGAAGTGATGATTTAGTTTCGGAACTTTGAACAATGGATATTGGTGCATCATATTGTGTTGTAATAGGGCTCATTTTTACATCTATTACGGTTTTCGGAACACGTGTAAAGGTAAATTTGTGTATATTAAATACAGTTTGAAAATGTGAATTGCCTGGTCCATTTGAATCTCCTAAGTTCAAGAACATTATATACAAGGCACTTTTGTTGAAACGAAAGAAACTTACTTTTCGCAACTTTAGTTGTTGTTCGCATAACTCCGACACTCGTTCTTCCTGTTGCTCTGCTCTGAAGGTTATTTTGCGTAAGGTATTTTAAGTTTTAAATATCATAACTGTACCCATATTTTCGTTTTGATATCCTTCAATAGAACTGATGTTGAAAAAGCTTTGACCGGCTTATCAAATGTGCACTTTGAGTTTCCACAGCATTTATTTATATTTTCTCTTCTTAATTGCATTGCAAGTCGAGGAGAAGAGTCGGTTCCTATTATGCAGGAAAACATGAGAGAGGTTTAATTTTAATTTATGAATATAGCCTTTTACCTTTGACAGGGATTAACTTCAATTTCATTGATAAGTTCCGATTGGCCATTATAGTGCCACAGTATCCCTGAATTTGAAAACTTAAAAATTCGAATCATTAAAAACAGCTTTCGGTTTAGTTACATGATTTGCATAAAATATCAAGCACCCAACGATGAGATATTGCACTGCGAGCATGGCTCAAAACTCTACTGTGGAAACTTTCCATGGAAACACAAAGCTTTTACAAAGGTCACAGGATGTTTGTTTTGCAATCTATTGAAAAGCGAATGCATTGTTAATTTTTTATCGTTTTGTTTGTGGCTTGAAAGCTATACAACGTTTTGACGTAAATCAACAGCACGTTAAAATTTGATAGGTTGTTTATTTCAACAAATACATAATTTTAAATTTAAAGTGGCTAGAGGTTTTATGCACTGATTTTTTTTTCTTTAATTGATGTGGCAGAATTTTACAGCTTTTTTCAAAGGTTATTGTAAGATATTTATTGTTTATGAATGAAGGACATTGTTTTTCTTAAACAATAAATAAATAAATAAATAGCAAAACTCAACGAGAAAAATCCAACTTTAAATGCAAATCACTTATATTCTTTAATTATTTTAAAAGCAATGAAATCATTTTTGAAAATTTATTCAACTACAGTAAAAAGAAGAATGAATTATTTTTCTAAATTAAATCCCTACCCTATTGTCACTGTTCTTCCCCTTAAACATGATATTAAAGCCTTGCAAAAATGTGTTCCAGACGGTGCAGGTTCTCGCCACACGGTCCGGAAATTAGGCACCGATTGACGTCCGCTCTTTGGCCACAGGTAAGTCTGGCGGATTAAATGGATAGTTGTTGTGCCGCTCTCTATTAAAATATGATGGAGCGGCGCCGGTGGTTTGTGTGCGGCGTAATTTATAGCGGAGGAGTGTGCGGTAAGAAGCGTGGCTGAGTGTGTGGTTATACGAACGTGATGCCCCCCCTTGAACCCTTATCGCCGGCTCACGCTTCGTGGCTCCCGCTTTTCAATGGGCAGGCAGACACGCGAACTGCTGTCACTTTTCCCTGCCCTCGCAACCCTTTTGCGTCGTGTCCTCGCTGCGAAGCTGGCAATCGCCGGCACGTCTCGTTGTCCGTTTGTTTCCACTCGGTTTGCGGAGGAATAAAATGAGCGACTCATGCACGCAAACGGGACATTTTCCTTAATTAAAATGTGCATTCATTACACATTTTATTAGTTTTTTTCTGCATATTTTTACTTTTCTTTCAAAACAGAATATATGGATGAAAATAGATCCACTTAAAATTCTTAATTGCTTTTATTTTATCACAAAAAACGTTTTGAAATGTAAATTTATTAGGTTTGTTAATTTAATTAATTTTACGTCATTGGAAATATTTTTAACTTTATCACTTAAAAAACAAATATCATGCTTGACTAGAATTCGCATGTATATATTTTAAAATACTGCAGGAAATGATGATTTTTATTTTGGTAAATTTTAGAAGAGAAATTTGTTAATTTTTTTAATCGCCAAATTTTCAAATACATAACAATAAATTATATCAAATTGATCAATTTTTGGCAACTTCTACAAGCATTACATATTTTAATAAAAAAATATTGATATTTTTTACAATTAAGTATGCAATGCTTGTAGGAGTTGCCAAAAATTGATCTGCGGCGTTAGACTGAGTTTGTTCTCGGATTCCAATCACGATCTCACAATTTCTCACTTTTACGACGAGCACCACCTTTATGGGCCGCTGCTGCTACTTTGCGTTATGATTCATTACTTTCTAATAAATTTTAAACTTTACGTTCCCCTCCATTCCCAGTAAAAGTTTAAGTACAGTTCTAAATTAAAGTTGGCCGCGGGTGCAGCTCAAGAGAGAAACTTTTTATTGGCGTACGGGTTGTGCAATTTGTCTGGCGAAAAAGTGCTTCACACCCCGAATGGGGAGCAGCTAGGCGGACAATCGCGTCACGCTGAATGCAAATCGCTTTTTTCGCTTTTAATTAGCCCACGCCGGGGCGCATTTGCATCATCAAAGGAGCGCGCGCAAAAAGCTGCAGGAATTCGCTCGCGCTTCCTTCCCCCCTGATGAATTTTATTCAGCCAAGGGTGTATGTGTGTGTGTGTGTGCGCTCTCTTCAAACAGGGGCTAATTACCCGCCGCCGCCGTTGCTTGTTACCTGCATAAATCCGCGCTCGGCTAATTTTGATGCCGCCACTTGCAAAGTCATGCTCAAAATCACGCCAAGTGGCTCCCTAGCTCCTGCGATATTGTCGTGCAGAAAATAATCCGCGCGCCATTCACTGCGTTCAAACAGGCATTATTCCATTCAGACCACTCGAGCTCTTTCTTTGCTTATGATTTTATACGCTCCGCAAACTGCGGATCCTCGATTAATGTCCTCATGCCACATTTTGTGTGCATGTTTACTCTACTTCAAATCGTGACTCGACTCTCAGCGCGGCACTTCTGAAATTGTTCCACCGTTAGATTCGTGAGCAACCTCTTCCGTGTGCCTGTGTATGAAATATAAAATTGATTATAAAAAGCGCCAAGCTCTAAAAAAATTGACCATTTGTAGTTTTCACTTATTAATTTTTTTAACTTAATTTTTAATCTTAATGTAATAAAACTGAATTAAAATAATTTAAAAATATTGCATTAGGTGACCATAGTTTTCTTTTACTTTTTAGATTTTAATTTTTCATTATTATTGCTTTCCTTTTAACATATAAGAATTAAAATCCCAAAATTTGGATCCAGCCAAGGAAGAAGCTCATTTTTTGGCCTCTATTTCCCTGAGTGCATTCCCAGAACTATTCTCTATTTTTAATGTTGTTCATTTGTCCATTATCTAGACTTCTTAAATTCCTCTTTTTTTCTCAAATCATTACTTTAAATTTAATTCAAATGAAACACTGTTTATTTTTGTGACTTTTGCATTAAAATTTTGTGTAAAATCAATTGATACTAAAATTTTTTTGGATTGAAAGGAATTGTTAAACAAAACGGCACCACCACTCTAGCAAAGATTTTGCCCTCCCGAAATCAGACATCATCCGCCTTGCAATTAGCGAACATCGATTGTAATTATTTTACCCAATTACATTATTAAAACCAAATAAAATCTAATAGTATAAAAATAATTTATGAAGAAATAATATTAAATTTAAGTGCTTTAAATTCTTTGAAATCGAGCTCCATACAATTTTTAGATAAATGTTAATTATCCTAAATTCCATTTCCCATCTGAAGATCTCTTTCTCAAAATAAGAAAATAATTCTACTAGCCACAATGGCTTTTTGCTTAGAAAAATTCGAATTTGATCTTAAAATCAAAAGTCTTTTTCACCTGCGCCCAGCAGTATAATTTTGAAATGAAGAAAAAACAGCAATTTATTAACTGTTACAAAAACATTATCTTGCACTTATAAAATTAAAACATTATTATTTTCTATATTTATTAATTATTAATAAAAAGTTTGTACTTGTAATTTGGCAATTAAATGTGACCCTTTGAACTCTACATTCTATATTACAAAAAAAATATACTCCAAACTTGAACAAGCGTCATTACCAAAGCAGGCGAATTTTTTAAACGAAAATTGCGCACTCGACTTTTTTAATTAGTCTTGCGTTGGCACTGGAAACGCGATGCTCTCGCTGCAAACTCTTGAGAACAACACGGTAGCAATAATTCCACGACCGCAAATGCTCTCAGGCCGCTAATTAGCGATGGCGCCGTTTTAATCGATAAAGTATGTGTGTACAGCTGCAAAGCAAGGGAGGCTGTGTCGCTTCTCATCCCTCATCGTCGTCGCGCAGTGCAAGGGGCTAAAAAGGAGGCAATTAAAATTCTAGCCAAGAAACCATGCCACCGTCTTTGCTCGGCGCCGCGCGCTGCTTTTAAAACTGCTGCTGGCTCAGTGAAAAGCTTATACAGCCATGAAAGAAATAATACTCGCGTCCGTAATTAGCGACTGTCAACTTAGCGTTAAGTTTGTGTAGCAGTACTAACGAGCAGCATATTACACGGTGTGTGCCTCTCTTTTCTCTTTGCTCGTCTTTATGCTTGCTTGTTACTCAAAACAACGCCGCGCCGCCGCTCCAGCAATTACCCTCGAATTTATGCACTTTGCAATCAGCATGCAAATTTCCTCTTTAATCGGCGCAGAGCTTCTGATTGAGCGGCGTGTGCTTTTGTTACGAAAGGGTTCGGAATTTTAATTGCCGGTTTGATTGCCTCTCGCGCCCCCTTTGTATTTATTATTCTCTCTGGTGTGTGAGAGTTGAAGCAGCTGCCTTTGTGAGACACTTTTGATGGCTCTCTGGTGATAAAATTTGATAATTTAAATTCAAAACTTTCATTTCAATTTCGCTTTAAGCACTCGCATGAGACAATCATGTATTGGAGCTTTCGCACAATTAAAATAATCAATCCCAAGGAAGAAATAAGCTGTTCAAATAATACATTAGCTATACCATTTTTTTTTATTAAATTCGCCTCTGCCAACCTCATATGATAGCACATTAAAATTTTAAATAATTTAATTCCATCAAGAATGATTTATAGTTTATTTTAAATAATTTACACAGACATGTGTTTAGAGAAACTAATATTGTCTAGAATAAAACAATTTATCCAAAAAAAGAAAGAAAAAACGTAAAAATTAATCTTTTAAGTAAATATATTTATTTTACATTTTTTTTAAGCTTACAAGCGCATCTTTTCAAAATTTATGAGCAGATTTTGTTCCGGATGACAAACTGTAGTAGTTCGTTGCTCTCAGCTCTTTTTTCTCCACATTTCCGCTTTCCAGGTGGGAGTTTGCAGGCTGCAGTGCGTGTGTGTGTCTCGTTTTTCCCTAATTGGACGGCACTTTGCGACGCAATTAAAATCCACCTTCTCATTGACTTTGCACCGAGCAATTTGCATGAATACACAGGCCCGTTTTGCCCCGCGATGTCTTTATGGCCGCTCTGGCTCAAGGCACTGCATGCGAGCACAGCATTCATTTCTAGAGCTTCTTTATTAGCCTGCCGGCTACACGTGGCAATTAGAGCGACGCGAGAGAGCAGCTTTACCTTTGCCCTCTCTTTCTCTCGCTGATTATTTCCACTGGCGCGCGTGCAAAAATTCGCTTTTGAATAACAACGGCCGCGAATTTGTGCACGCATTTATTACGTGCGCTCGCTCTTATTGAAAACGGCTCTCGCGCCCACACACATTAATTGCGAGTTCAAAAGGCGCGCTAATTGGCGACTAAAACTGCCCACGTTTGGTTTCAGCAAATCCACTGCCAACTTCCAGCGTGCACGGAACTTTTGAATTCATATTATGGGCAGTCCACAAAAAAGGGGAGAAGAAAAGACTAATTATTTGTGGAAATTGCTAGAGGGTTGGGTTCAATTTAAAATTTCGTTTTACAAAATGTTAACAGTAAATTAAAAAAATACTAATACAATTAGTCATTAATCTTATAAATATTTGCTTTTATTGAAAAAATTAAATAAAATTTGGGGATTTTTTATTTAATTTTTTATTTATAATTATTTGAATTATTGATTTTTGATGCGTAAAACAAACGATTAGATTACATCATTGTTGTCAAGCACTTTAAAATAAGTATAACAAAAAAAAATATATATGTTGCAATTAAACATTTAAATTAACATTATAATCTTCAGCAAAGATATAGTTAGATGTTGTGATTTCTGTATATGTTTTGTGTTTATCTAAAATTAAAATGCTACAAATTATAACTGATTATTTTAAAACATTATTACATACATATATAAAGAAAATCAATATATAGTTCATGTTGCAGAATGCTGGTTGCACTGATAGGAAGCAGGGATGTGTGTAAATGTGATAAATTTTACTCTAGTTCAGTGCTTATTATTAAAAAAAAAAAAAAAAAAAAATCACAAAGGAGTTAAAATGAATTTCATTAATTAAAGTTTTTCTTATGAATCAATTTAAGCAAATAAATGTATATTAATCTGCATGACTTTTGTTGCGAGAGAATAAATATGTGAATTGTTGTATATTGCATCAAACTGCTTAATGTCACGCATTTTTAATCGTTAAATATTTCGGATGCGATTTAATTTACTTTTAATATAAGTTTCAATAAATTTTTCCAAAGTTGAACAATTTCCATCATTGTGACAACCCATTTGCAGGGACAGTAGCAATAGAGACCAAACGGAGGGCATTCGAGTCTCTCAACTTGAAGCATAAATCAGGGGTGCACATTGCACAATCAGATTGAGCTATGTTTGTGGCGCAATAATGTCCAGCGGCTGCAAAATAACTTGGTCTCGTCATCGCAGCGAGAGGGTTGTTCTCTCCCAAAGCACAGAGATAGCGGCTGCTGGATCCATCATCCACCAACACAGTGTATTAATATAACGTCCCTGCAGATAACAAAGCACAGTTTGGAAAACAAAAGCAGTGACTTCTTCTCGTAAACGAAATGCAATTTTCTTCTTTAGTGTCAGTAAATGCCCAAGCATTTTTGAATTTTAAAAGGAGCAGTCGGATTTGCAATTATTATTTCGACGCAGGCGGTGCAGATTTATGGCTCGGCAATAATGCATTAAAGACAAACGTCTTCCAATTTCAATTTGAATCTGCTTGAGAGATGAGGGAGGGGGGAGAGAGGTATCATCAAAAAGCATTTTCCCATTCAGGTCATGTAACAGAAGGATGCTATAAAAAGGAAAATAGCTCTGCTGGGTAATATGATTTACAGCCGAGATTTTCAAATTTCATTACGTTCTTTCTCGCGTTGAATAAAGGCTGCAGTAGTTGTTATAATATTGGTCGCCCACCATTGAATAAATGCCGCAAACGCGCGCGGCAAAAAGTCCACCGGCGACAGGAAAATTAATGCATAAATTTGATATTACTTTTTCTTTGTTGGAATTCCTGACGTCGCAGGTGTATTATTTGATTCCATATGCCGGGTCATAAATTATTTCCACATTCCTGGCGTGCGGCAACTTTCTCATTCGCGGCGATCAGCGCATTATTTCCACGCAGCGAAATGGAAAAAAAAAGTGGAATTGAATAATAAAATCCGGAACGTGTACAATCCTTTCTGCTGGAAAATGAATGCATTTGGAATTGTGCTGTGCTATTTTTTATTAATAATTTATAAGTTTATTGAATAAGAGGCAAAAAATAATTTTGAAGGTAAAATATTTTAAATAATAGGCCAGGGCAGTTGATAATATCAATATTTATTACTAACAAAAATTTTGCTAACGCTAAGAAATTTATGAGAAAATGATATGAGCAAAAAAAAAATTATTTTACAGAGGATTATAAAATTCTTGGCATGATTTAGAAATTAAAATTTTTAAAATAGGTTTTATATTGTTTTCTGCTTTATTTTGTGTCTTTTGAAGTAGAGTATAAACAAAATTAGAATTGACACTGAAATACTTTATCAACTTTAGGATTTAATTTTTAATTTTTATAATTTCAACTATTCTTAAGTCTAAAATTTAGCATCAATTATAGCTTACAATATTTAAAATTTAATATATTATCCAACAAATTAATAAATAAATGAAAATTTAAAACTGTTTTCTTTTTCAGTTCTTGAATACAAAATTAAATTAACCTTTTCATGTCATTTTCTTGCCACTGAAATTGTTCACTATGAACTAAAGGGTGAGGTTTCTTACATATATACGCAGTACAAGGTGGCTTCTTTTGCTCTTTTTTCTCATCAACCGTTTCAATAGGCCCGGAAATGAAGCTATATATCAGGCGTTGGTGGATGATAATACTACATAAATTGGCCGCGCGTTCACCGCCGCCGCCTCCGTCGTCGCCGAGACTCAATCCTGTTCGCAATAATAATAATAGCGTGTGCGGCGGTTTTTTTTTAAAGGAAGGCGAAAGTAAGCAGTATTGGTGCGGCGCAAGTGGATTTATTGTTGCTTTTGATAACCCACCCGCCGGCGGCTGTCCAATTTAAACAGCACAAAATAAGTCCTCCCTTCTTAAGACGCACCTGCTTTTATGTGCGCCGCGGCCCGTTATTTGCTGTTTCTCTCCACGCTACTTTTTATTAAATAAACTCCGCACAAAGACCCACCGCCGTCTTTTGTATTGTTTGAATTAATTTCCCTTTATGGCGCAGCCAAATGTCAAACGGGCCGCAATAATTTTCAGCCCTCCACAATGCCGGGCCCATTTACGCGCAAAAAAGAGTTAAACATCCTCCGCTTTGAAGTGTTTTTTTGGGTCAGATTCGATGCCATTTCCTATACTGAAAGCGACCCGTGGTTTTTGTGAAAGGTTCCTTTGGCTTTGTCACTCATAAATTATTAGCCAATGTTGACCGATTCTCGCAAGCATGGCACCTATTCACACGGAATCGTCGATAAAAAAGATTGAATTAACAATAATGAATTTTGGTAAAATACGCTATAATGATTTATTAAATAATTTTTTTAATATGATTACCAGTGATATTGGAATTAAAAAGGATAAAAGGAAATCATGAAAAACATTTTCAGGAATAATTAAATTATATAATTAAGTCTCTTTTTGTGTAATTTAAAAATCATTATATTTTAATATGGACTAAGCAGTATTTTAAAGTGCAAAAAAATGCATTATTAAAATTAAATTTGGTAGAAATTGAAAACAAATTTAAGAAATTTTGATTGGATTTTGTTGCCTGTCAGCTCTTTGAGCCGAAATTGAATATTCCAGTAGCAATCTGCGCGGCAAATTTGTTGGTGCCTCGCTTGTTGAAATTATGCGCGTGTCTCAACCCTTCAATCAGCGAATGATATTTCGCAGTAATTGGAGGGCGGCGAGAGAATTATTACGGCGGCGGCACACGGACGTTCGTAAAATGAGAAACTTAAATTGGTGTGCTAATGAATGAGAGAAGCCCCAGCAGCGTCCGGACGGTCGGTCGAGCCGTTCGCTCTCTGCGCCGCTTTTGCAAAGTGCGGATTGGAGAGGCGGGTGATACATGCTCAAGATAATTGCTAATTAAGTCCATCCAGCAACTCGATATCTGCTGCAGGGGATGCAATCTTCGTTCGTTCGTACGTCCGTTCCGGCCGGGAGAGCTCGGCTCGGGCACTCAATTTCGTGAGATGATTATGTAATCGAAAAACAACATCACCCTTTCCGGAAGGCCTTTGCTTGATGCGCCCGGTTATTTCGCGGCTCACGCAGATTACGGCATCAACTCGTAAATGGAAATTTCACTTTGGGCGCTCACGAGACACAATTTGACCGTAGATGTGGAGTTTAATTAAATCAAAACTGTGGGCAGAACACAAATATTTTCACTATTTGTTGACATTTTTTCAAGTTGATTTTTTTGGGTAAAAATTTAAGGAAATAAATTAACAATAATCCAAAAAAATCTTAACGAGCTTAGCACATTCAATTATTCTAATTGAAATAAAGCGGTATGTGGACCTTACGAATCAAGTAATTAAATTTTAATTTGGATAAAATTGGCAAATTTAATATCACCTTCCTTCCAATTTACTTGAATAAATAATGAGACGGAAGTTTGCGCGAGCTGAGCCTCACTTGCGGTTTTTTTAGCCTAGATTGTTTTCCTGTATTTGATAAAAACAGAGGGAAGGAATTTCCGTTTATCCATTTATTTCACTTTATCAAAATGAGGCCGACGAACGGGCTGAGCACGTTTTTAGTAGTTCTGCTGCCACTTTCGTTTGGAAAAAATTGTGAAGAGGATCAAAAGTTAAAATTGGAAGATCCTGTAGCGATTAGAGATGGGGGTTTGCTGAACAAAGATGCAGTTTACGCAAGAGACGAATTCTGGAAGGAGGGCCAAGACTTTTACATCTGCCAATGCGACATTAAGCCTTGCATTAGACTTTGCAATTCAGGTGATTTCCTGACTTTTTAGTAATTCATTTTTTATAATATTGTCCTTATAGCAATAGTTAAGAGCTTAAATTTCACCATCAATGATGCAACGCTGCCCGAGAATAAATACCAAATCGACATAGTTCATAACATAAGTTTAAATAAAACAGTAGATTTGAACGAGCATTTCTATGTCATTAAGGAAGACAAATGTGAAGGTGCACTATCGTTGGATCCAAAGAATAATGAGGGAGATCAATTTACAATTTTAGCAAATGGATCTATTCATTTCATCAACAAGGGTGATGGACAAAATTCTATTCTTCATCACCAGGAATTCTGCATACTTTTTGATGTGTGTTAAGGACCTTTAATCCAAGCTATTATCAAATTTAATTATTCAATTTTTCAGGAAAATGGCACACTTCAAGTTTTCGAATGCGTTGACCTTGCGTCGGACGAAATACAATTTCAAGTCTATGTTTACCCGATCTTCATGGTCATGTCCATCATTTCCCTTTTCCTCACTTTGCTCGCATTTATCTTAACGCCGGAGATGAAAACCTTACACGGAAAAAGTGTTGCGTGCGAGTCATTTACACTGATGATGGCTTTTGTAGGCCTCACTGTGACTCATTTGTCAGGCACTGACAGTGCCATTATAGTTTGCAAAATTTTTGGTAAATTTTTAAATGAAATGTTTATGAAAAATTGCTAAATCTATAAATTTTTAGCTTACATTGGGTTCACCTTCCTTCTCAGCTCATTCTTTTGGCTAAACACAATGTGCTTTGACATTTTTTGGACTTTTGGGTAAGAGGAAATGAATTTTTATATTCTAGGGCCTCTCAATTATTAATTTTCACTTTAAAAAATTAAAATTTTTTTACTGAAATTGAGGTCGCAATCAAAAATTCACATAGCTTAAGGCTTAAATTTTGCCAGGTATTTCTTAATTGCAGAATCACAAGATTAACAAATAAACAAGATTCTAGACTTTGAGATTGAAATTCCTCAATAGTTCAAATGCTTTGGTGGTAAAAGTTGTAAATTTTATAAACTTTTGTCTCCACCTTTTATCGCGTGTGAATAAAATTTCAGTCATTGTGCGGTTTCAAATTCATTTTCATAAAATTTTTACAGAAATTTTGCAACAATGACTGGGTCATTACAGCAGACGCATGAAAAGAAGTTTCGAATGTATGCCCTTTACTCGACGCTTTATCCCTTGATAAACTTGGTCATCGTTGTAATATTTGATTTCACTCTCACTGAAGACTCATTTTTGTGGCCCGGAATTGGCCATGGCAAATGCTGGTTTCGATGTGTGTATTGTAAATTTTTCTTTTTATTCAATTTTTAAACCTTTAATGCATAAATTGGCAGCGCACACTCTGGATTTTTTGTACTACCAGGGACCGGCCATGATTCTGCTCGTTCTGAACATAACTTTCTTCTTCATAACCCTGATTAAAATAAATAAGATGAAGAGTGAGGCGCGAATTCTAAAAAAAGGCGAAAGTATGACGCACGGAGGAAATGGTGGTTGCGCGTGGGACGACAAACAGAGGTCCCTGTTGTTTATTTTAATTGCTATCATAATACACAAATATTTTTGTTTTTCAAACTAAACTGAATGGACATTTTATAGGTTTGCCTTGTACGTGAAGATGTTTTTGCTGATGGGTGGTTTGTGGATAATGGAAACGATTTCATGGGCGGCCGAGAGTAAGCCAAAGTGGCTGTGGGTGCCGTTCGACATCTTCAATAGTTCTAGAGGTGTTTTCATTTTTCTCTTCTGTGTCGCCTGTAACCTTAAAGTTCGGAACTCGCTGATGAGCCGTTTTAAGCCACAAAATGTTCATCCTGAAAGGCCAGAAATCAGCTGCACTGCTCAGAAACGGTCCTGCCAAATAAACAAGACGTCTGAAGTGTCTATCACATGCGGCGAAACACTTGCTACGAAACCGCTTCATAATAATCATAATTTTAAATGGGCTGAAACATCTGTTTAATTGATATAATTATATTGTTACATTTTTATGACTTGTACATAAAATATAACATTTTTGTCGCAAACAACATAGAAAATAAAAATCAAGTGAAAATAAATTTAATACCAAAATAAAATAAATAATATCTTTACAGAAATTTTATGCCTGAGCAGGATATTGAAAAATTAAAAGAATATAAGCCCTTAAATAAAAAATAATTAATAATTGATTATTAAGTTATCTGGCGCATTTTATTTCTCCACAAGAGCTTATAATTATAGTTTTCTAAAATAAAAACATTTATTTTTTATTTTAATTCGTACATAGATTCACAAAACAAAGAAGCTGTGAAAAATTAAAATTATTATTGTTGTTTATTTATGCAAATTGTTATATCACATTGTTATGTGATGCAACAATTTTGAAAAATAAACAACTAGCAAGAAATTTATAGGTGCACTGCTTAATATTAATCATTGTTGTGAACCTCATTTGCATAAAAGATGACATTTAAATATAGATTAAAACCTATTATTAATGATATAATATTCATAAATCGTAAAAAGAATTGACCATTAAATCAAAATTCTTTTATTATTATAACAAATTTCTTGCAATTTCACATTCAAAATTTTGAAGTTATTAAATTTTAAAATGTGAATAATTTCAATAAATAAACAGTAATGAAAATTTTTGAAAATTGATAAAACTTCAATACTATTTTTCTTTTTTTTGGCAACACGCAATAAATTATTTACCGTCTCTTGCCTAGAATTCTCTATCAAAAGAATAGAGAGGGTGCGGAATTGTATGTTGAATTTCGCATCGCAAACACACTCGGCGGGCGACATGCCACCAAGAAGTTGTGGGAATTTGCTGTCGCGGGCGCATCGAGCACGGCTGGGCAGAATGCAGGCGAGGAAGTGGAGTAACGAGGTGGCGTGTTTACATATCATCAGGATGTGACTGCTGTGACATCGGCACCTGAGTCAATACGATATTCTCGTCGGCGAGAAATTGAGCAAACACACCCAGTCATCCACCCTTCAAACGCACATTAGAGGGCCGTAATTACAGCTCGCCGCCTCAATCAAGCGCTTTCCGCCGCATAAATTGAGCCAATCGCCACGTCAGCATAACGAGCAGACATTTGCGGCTGGAAATCGAGCTGAAAACCGCACCGACGTCTATCTCTTCCGACATTAGAGGTGGGCCGCGCCGTAACGACGTTACACTCTCGGAGAAAACTTCAATCTTGCAGAGCAACAGGGAAAACCGAAATTGTGTTTTCTCTCTCCGGCTTCTCATTTCATTATGCTCTTTCTCGGCGGCGGGTCGCGATCTTTTGAAGTGCGTTGATAGCACGGGGAGGAGTTTCTTTGTCGACGGGATTTTTCTTCTCCGTCTGCCCCACACCGAAATCACATTATGCGCTAAATTAGTCTTTCTTTCTGGTACGACGAACCGCCTGTTTTACGTCGTTGCCTTTCATGGCGGCACATTATTCTCATCATGGCTCAATCAAGAGCGCAAAACCTCCGCAGACCCTCGCTTAACGACCACCTAATAATTTTTTACGCACATCAATCAGCAGTTGGTTTTAATTAATGCGCGTAAAAAGGGCTGAAAAGACGATTTGGATTTCCTTTTTAACACGAAAAAGAACAAACGTTCTGTCCCCCTAGTGCCGAATCTTTTTTTTTCTTAACTTCCGCGTGGTAAAAAGCACATTCTTTGGCATGGTTTTTTGCCAGGAAAAAGCACAAAAAACCGAATAAAATAATAATAATAATAATGTATATAAAATCTTTAAAATTTTAATCTAAAAAAGTTACAACTTCATCTTGTGCATATTCCTCTTGATTCATTTGGCTCTTAATTTTAACTTCTAGTATCTCTGTTTGTATTGAATTCCTTAAAAATATAAAATTAAAAACCTGTTAATGTCTCTCAAAAACATATTTTGAACTTTTTTATGAAAATCATTTAATTATATCAATCAAACCAAAATGAAAATTGTCTCAGAATTTGTATCAATCAATCAACTACATTTTTTCAAAAATTATCAAATTCGTTTGGGTAAAAATATCTAAGGAAATCTGGAAATCATGAAATCTGAAAGATCATAAAAATACATGTTGTAGTAACAATATTTTCATACTTTGCATCAAAATTGAATATGTTATTTTTTTGGCCCCCTCGCGGAAAAAGAATTCCAATCCAGCAGAAAACAAGGGGATGAAAGTTTAATTTGAATTGTCACAGAAAACGCGCCGTCTGTCCGTCTCGAGCGATTCCGCCCTCGACATGTTCTCGAATTGAAGGGTCTTCTCGGACCATCGCCGGCAAAAATAAGCAATTTCGGCGGCGGGAATCGAAAAAACAAGACGAGCTAGAAGTTATTTGGCTATAATCTGGCCAGGAGAAATGGAAAACACACAGAGCGCGATGTCGCTGGGGACCGGCTGCCCTACCTCAATGCTCTCTGACAAATTTAAAAGCCAATTTGCCATGTTAGCCGCCACCGCCACCGCCGCCGAGCCACTTTATTTATTCCTCGTGCATATGCATAGGGGTGGGTGTTTGTCGAGGCGCGGGGGCGCTCCCCTCAGGGCACTTCTGGCACGCCAATTTCTTGCCTAGCAAAACATCAGAGCTCTAGCAAGTCCTTGCGCCCGCCCAATCCTCCAATTCAATTCCGACGCCCGTGCAGCCTGCCAGCCGCCGCAAATTTGATACATTTGTCTTTCCCAGATCAAATTTCGCTCCGGTGACGGCAGATGCTGGCTCAGATGGATGGAGATAGAAACACCACGCAGTTGCTAGTTGAAACAAGACCTAGGGTTTAAAGCGGCAATTAATATTTTATATCATATTTTTCAGGAAAATATAAAAATAATTTTAGTATATTAAATTTTTTTACTTATTAAATATAAAATTTTTTTGATTTATTTATTAAATTGTATTATTTTATCATTTCACTAGTTTTTAATGTAATATTTTACCTTTTTTTATCCTTTTTAAAACAATTTAGTATTTTAGATCATTTAAAAAAAAATTAATACAATTTGAATGATGATGCCTTTTAGATGCCAAAATCATTACACAATTAATTGAAGATTTTAATTGCATTATCAAGCATTGGTGAAGATTTTATTGATGTTAATAATTGATATGCACAATAATGGAAGCAACATTGACAATAATATCTAACTATAGTTATAATTCATTGAATGCAATTATTAATGTTGTATTATCTTCAAGAAGCTTCCTTACTGAAAATATAGTTACTTTCTATTTAATTATTTATTGTTAGTTGTTTGCCGAGTGATCATTGAAATATTTTGAGTCAATTTACAGCTTTTTGAAGTATTTGAATTAAATTTTGGAATTTCTTAGATCGTAAAGTGGCTGGCCACTGGCTGAATTTGGTGTATTTACAATGAAACAGGTCACTTTGTAATTTCTCTGACATTTGCTCACTTAAATGTGTCCGCGATCCTTTTAACTTAAAGTCGATGCCAATAAATCCAAAGTTAGCAAAGTTGTCCCTGCGCCTGGGCGCTTTCGCGCGAGGGCTGTTAGTTACCCTCTTAAGTATTGCACGAAACTTTTACTTTAACTTGGGCTGCAGCCGAAGCGGAACAACTCGGGAATCAAATTTATCGGCGCAATCTCGCTAAATGCACACACACACTCACGCGACACACGGAGCGGCTTTTTAATCTCATGATTTGCAGGCGGCGCGCGAATTAGCATAGCTGCGGATGCAATTTAGATAGTGGGGGGTATAATTGCCGCCGGAATCTGAGAGAGCGGTAAATTTTTAATCAGCCGTAATTGATTTATTATGCGCGCCGGGGTTATTATTTTTTAATAAGCAGTTTACGCGGCGCTAAAAGCCAAAGTCTGGATAGAAATGCCTGGTTGGGTGTGCGCGTCACGAGAGGCTTGTAAAAGGTGGCATAAAACAAATCATTTTTACGGCCGCGCAAAGATAAACAGATGACAGTGAGAGAAGGCGGAAAAATCTCCGGGGCTAAACTGCGCGCGCGTGATACATGTAATATCGCACCCATAGGGCTATTTTTATAGCCGATAAATAACCTTAGAGAGTTGCTTAATAAATATATTGGTGCGCGTAACGTGAACGAATGGCCGAGGAGGTGGAAAAAGAAGTGGCACCGTTTGTTTGAATTAAACGCCGAAAGACACAAAAGGGAACAATTTTTCTTCGGGCTAAGCCGAGCACAAGAAAAAAGAAATAATAAATAAATTGTGCGGAAAAATGACCCCGGCGCTTATTTTTCTTATTTATATTTTTCCTTTCTGTGGGGAGCGGATCAAAAGCGGCCAGCATTAAAATGCATGGGGAAATTATTATTTAAGCGGACAATGAGATTTGTTGGCTCTTTGAAAGCAGCCGCTCTCCTTAGAGACTTCTTTGCTGCGACAGCAGGCAGGTGGGCTTTATTTTTTATGCCATGGTACGCGCCAGTTTGTTTGCGACCCGCTCTCTCTCGTCGGAGCATGCATGCATGATCGCTACACGACGACTTTGTCGTGAATTATTGAAAATATGAGAGCATTGTTATTCACAAGGGCTCAGTCATTTTCAATATGCATGCTGCTCAAGTGGCTATTGCCGTTCCCTACGCGCTTGCATGGGAATTCGTAACGGGAATTCAGTGGACTGAAACGAGACCTTTTTCTCTTTTCTGCTCGGTCTATTTTTTTGTGAAAAACGCTGACCGGAAATATGGAGTACGCAGAGAGCAAAAACGAAAGCGTCTCGTGTTTTATTAAAATGCCTCTTTGAAGTTGCGCCAATCGAATTTCCTTTCCGAGAGAGGTTCGCTTTGAGCAATTTCTTGAATTATGCAAAATGCTGGGGAATTTCATGTTGCTAACAGGACACGAGTGACAACCAAGAAATACAGGAGACGCTTATTTGTCCAAGTTTGAAGTTTGTTTTGTTAAATAGAGGCAAAGTATGCAACGCGCACAACACTTTTGGACCGCGGGTTGCATAAATAAATTATATTAGTAATAATAATGATGATGATTATTATTTATTGGATTTATTGAGTGTACAACGTGGTCTTGCAGATAGAGTGCAATTGCACAGTGTATTTATTTGATCCACACACTATTAAATAAAAATTCATTTACAAAATTAAAAAATAATAAATCAAATTAAATAATTAAAACAAATTTTTGCTAAATATTTTAATATGTTGTTACTATTATTGTTAATTTTTTTATTCTAATTTTCTTTATAATTAATTTCCTATTTATTGAATTATGTTTTAACTTACAATTAGCTTTGATTCAATAAATAGATTGCACTCATGCATTTAATTTTCTCAATTCTATGCAGGAAAATTAAAAATTTAAGCAACCGTGCAGCACAGTTTTCAATTGCTTATATTAGTATAATTGACTTGCATGTATTTACCTAATGCTGATTCCAATACGATTGATTAAATGAATTTAATATATAATAATAAATATTCATAAGATAAAATTGATTTGAACAAATTTGAGGAAGAAATGATCTGTTATCCAGAGGAGAAAATAATGCTGTGGGTAAAAAGAGGCGCCAAACAGAAGCCGCAGAAACACCTATCTCTGAACTTGAGTCCCTTCTGCTGGAGCGATTTCGCGGAATCGATTTAATCATGCAAACTTATTATTAAACGCGCAACATTCTGAGGATTCATTTAATTAAATTTGGAACCATTTATCATTCTGGAACGCGAATATATTAAATTTCAAGAGCGAGCAAGAGAGAAGAGCGATGCGTGGCAATCACTTAAAGATTTAAACATGATTGCCAAGCGCTTCTAGTCTCTTCTTTTGTTGCTAATGCGAATTTCGAGACAGACTCGATGACAAATGATATCGAAATTGTGTTATGCGCCGCCCGCACACATAATGAGAATTCTCGGTCTAGAGGGGGACGAGATGATTTCTTCCAACGTCGCGTTCATCCCCCTCGAGAAAGGGGCATTAATATTGCTTTCATTTGTGGCGCGGCGCATCGATCTGGCCCTTCTCGCGCCATTATTTGACCGTATAATGAGGTGGCCCATCAAGCAGCTCGCACTTCTTCTTCTTCCTTCTTAGCCCTCGTTAATTGCTGCGCGATTTGCGGCGCTGCGGCGCTTTTTCGCCTCTGCTTTTCCTTCTACTCAAAGTCGAATCACGCGGCAAATGCAAAAGCGGAAAATAAAATCAACCTGACGAACTGGCTCAAATTAACTTAGCGCCGCCGCACCGCACCACCACGCTGAATAGCAAACGTGCGCGCAAATTGAGCGTTTTTCTCCGGCAGAATTTCTCTCTCTCCTGTTTGTGCCGCCGCCGCCGGCGGAAAATATGCCGCGCGAATTTATTCCGCTGCTTGCTCTCGCGGTTTCTCTTGCAGACGTGAGCGATGCAAACATACACATACCGCCGTCGCCAGAGATATTTTTGGACGCTGATGAATTGAATCAGAGAAAATCGAGTTCGCCTAAAAACAAACCGAGAAATTTGCCGAGAAAAGTGAGGTTCACGATTTTTTTTTAAATTTTGAAGCAGGAAAAAGTGCAGCTTTCAAAAAAATTAATATAGGCTCCATTGAATGATCAGAATCAAATTATTGAAACAAACTTGGATTTAAAGCTAGGGCTAGTATTTTCTAGGTTAAAATTTTTGAAATTGTGGGAAATTGTTTAGATAAATTTTAAATATTTTTCTTCGATATTTTAAAATTTAGGTTCATTTTTCACTTTTGGGATTATTTTTCTTAAGCAAGTTTGTTGCTAACAAACATTTTTGAAAACTAATCATTCATATCTCTTTTAATTCCATTTTTCTGTTATGTTTCAAGGAAGACGTTGGCACTCATGAGGACATAATTAAGTAAGTACCATCATCCATAATAAACAGGCACCTAGCAGGTTGAAATTATAAATTGAAATATTTGCTATAAATTATTTTTCAAAGAACTTGGTTGCTTCTTGCCGCGATCTTGCCGCCGTAATATATCTTGAAATGTCAATTAAATGATTATTCCAAATTACTTATGAAGTTAATTCATCTTATTTGAAAATCCTAGTCTCGTAATAACTAGACACACAGAAAATAGTCATTTTTGGATCATTTATTTGAGATCCAAATAATACAGTTTTGCTTAACAATTGAGATTAATATGAAACAATCCTAATTGAAATTAAAAATTTATGCAAGATTTAAATTTTGGAAGGTTTTTTAAGACCAATTAATTACAGATAGGCCAATTGGTTCTAAATTTAATCATATCGGCCATGCTCTGACGTCGCCTTACAAGTTTCTTCTTTGAAGTTCAATAATTTATTTATATAGCCGTTTTATTGCCTTTTAATACCGTGTTGCAAATTGTAAACACGAATCAATTTATAACATTCAACTCTAGAAAAATTATTGCTTTTCCTGTGCTTTTCGCCCTCTCATAAATATCCTGAAGCATGTGTGTGCAATAAAACTTTTCAAATAAACACAGCCATCTCTTTTAAGAGAGTCCGAACGTCCCCCTGCGCTTTTTTTATCGCCAACTTTGAGCCATAACACAGTTGTTTATTTACCTGATACCGACGAATATATCACTCTTTAGAAAGAGCGAGTTGCCCATCTTTTTGGCCTTTCGCTTGTGAATAAAATCGGCGGTCAAGTTTTGAGACGGTGGCGGCGGAGAAAGCGAGAGCGAAATCTCATTCTGGGGCGGCGGCAAAGGGAGAAGGTCTTGTGTTAAGTTCACTCTGGCATATAATGAGCTCTTCACTCGGCGGGAAATGGTTTTGAAAACAGATTTCCCAGCGAGAGCGCAGGGGGCAAGAAACCATTTCCGAGCGCAATAGAAAAATGATTGACACGGTAATCAAAGCACAGCGTTCCCTCTGCCATATTCCATCGATTAATAATATCCTCTCTGGTGTGGCGCGCGACTTCGGCGCGCCCGCGTCTCCCATTTTTCCTCCTTTGCATTCTGCACCACATGTCTTGCCTCTTTGACAAAGACAATAAATTTGCGCACAAAAAAGTTTTTACGGAAAAATAATTTGATTCATACAATCAAATCTCATTATAAAGAAACATATTTGTCTTAATTTATAAATTGCTGAAATTCAGGTTTAGTATTAATTTTCATCATGTATATCAAAATTAGTTTGCTAGACTAAAACTAAAAAGCTGGGGGAAAAATCAAATTCAAATTTTTAGTAGCTCGCATTATTTTGATGGGCACATTTCATCTTTAACATGATGTCTTATGCAAATGTGAGCCTCAAAAAAATTGTCGTTTAACATAAAAAACTTTTCTATTAACAAGTGTTATAAGTAACATTATTTTTAATTTATAAGTATTTATTTCTTTTTACATTAAATTTTTTTAAATGTATTTTTACCTTATTTAGATTATTCTTTTATTTTTTTCCGTCCAGTGCAGCATTTATTTTCCATACTGGGACTCGGATGTCATTGAAAAAAATTAATCTAGAGTTTTAAAATTTATAAGTTCCAAACACTTGTTCAAGAAGTCATATTTTATCGAAAGGTTCCTTATGTAGTTTAAATAATATGTAGTCCTTATTTATTGAAATTCTTAATTATACATTCAACTTGATCTAATCCTAAAATGATTGTTGACTGTAATCAAAATCAACAATAAAAATGTAAGTGAATGTTTAAGAAAAAATTGAATGTGAATATCGAAATTCATTAAAAACTTTTGATAATTCGTGTTTGCGATTTTTCTCTTAAGAAAATTGAATGAAATTGATCACATGCATGCAACTTTCAAATTTAATGTCTGATAAAAACGTGATTCCAGAGATTTGGGAAAATTTTCCGTTTTTCCGTGACACGCCAACAATGTGGCTAGTTAGCTTCCAATTTTCCGTCTGGCTCGCTCATTAGTCAGAGTTGAGCGGAGTCTCATCCTTTTGCGTGCAATTAAAGAAGGCGGCGTGTGCTGCGGGTAGTCTATCCCGACGTCCATGTACCCACATGCATGTGGAGCAAGCTGAAATAATTGCTCGAGAGCGAGAGACACAGCTCGCTCGCTGTGTGCCAACTTGTGTTAATTTCAATGCATTTGCAGCAGGCAAGTGACGGGACGGTGGTTTGTGCTGGCAGTCCACCATTTCTAATTACATTTTGTCACACTTTGCTGCAGATAAATGTATTCCGGATTATTCACGGCGACATGTCAACTAATTAATTCTCGGGCTGTGAGCTAAATTAACTTGTCTCTCCTGGATATAATATCCTCCTTCTCTTTCGGACCGCTGACTCTGAGGCTGCACGATTCACCTAAAAAGCTCGGCCAACTGTGAAAAACACAGAGGTTGGAGATTCTTTCAATTTCCACAAATTATTTTCAGAGCTAGTTCATTTTACCAGCGCTCTGATTTTGTTTAAAGTTAGTGTAACTTAATAGAAATTTTTTAAATTTATTTTTTCAAATTTATACATTTATCAAAAATTTATAAGTACTTGACATAATTTTTATATAAATATCAACAGCTGATATTTTATATTAAATCTTGTATTATTACTTCTCCTTATTTCATCTAAATCAAATTTTCGTTCTATAATTTTAAAAATTGAATATAATAAATGATAGTTTACTTATAAATTCCTTTGTACTCTGTTGAATACATAAAGAATTATTTTTTTCTGATATTGACAAAGAACATCTCTACGTGTGATTAAGAAATTAAATTGTAAACTTTTAATTGCACTCAATTCGAAATTTATAATGAATATTAAAAAGAGAATTATAAGTTTTTGTAATAAAAAAAGCTCACTATATTGAGCCCAATTAGTAGAAAATTATTGAAAATTTGATAATAAATTACCAAAAATCTTCATCATTACGCTCTTTCAATTATTTTAGTTTTTATCATCAAGGGGCTTAATTGGCACTCTAATTGGCGATGATTTGCAATTTGTATTGGTGGCAAATTCGCTCAAGTCCAATTATGGCACCCTTGCCGCGCTGAATTCCGGCAAAGAGCGATCAGGAAAATTTGACATCTGTCGGCCGGGTCGTGGGAATAATAATAATGTGGTGCCAGTTTCCTGGGAAATCGCGCGCGGCTGCGTCAGCTCCAGGGCAAAAGGAGAAAAGCAAGCAATGCTAGTCCTCATTAGAGAGCTTCCCTGCAAGTCTTTTAATTGTCCACTTAACGAGCACAATCCGGTGGTGTAGGAGAGAGAGAGAGGGACCCTGTCTAATTGGGCGACCCCTTTTTAGTTTACCATTAAAAGAGGCCCGGCCAACGCGATTTTCACAGAAAGAGAGAGATTTATTTTATTCCTCTTTTAAAATACAATAAAAGTGTGTATTATTGGCCGTTGATAATCTGAAATTTTGAATTTCCTTTGTCAGTGGAATTTATTCATCTCTCGCGGATATAATCCAATTAAATCTTGGGCCGACCCTTCCCTCTCTCTCTATTATTATTATTATTATTGCCGCGAATCGATTTTGTTTCGTACAATGCCGCCGCCAATTTTCCGCGTGGATAGTTTCGCTAATTATAGCAGGTAAACGCGCGGCTATTTGCAGTTAATTAGATCATCAAATGTGCGCACGAGTGAGCGCGAACGCTGCTGCGAATAATTAGCAAAGCGGAATTTTCAAAAAGCGGCAGTTTGTTATGTTAGCCGCACCGACAAAATTGTTCGGGATTTGTTTGCGGTCGAAAAACGCGCAAATCATCATTAAAAAGGTAATCAAGTGTCATAACAAATAATAATTTATACCAGAAAACTCTTTCATCTGCCACATGCCAAATTAGAATGTCAAACAACTCAAATCAGCGGATTGTGATTTCGTCAAAATATGATTTCCTCTTCTTTCATTTTTATGTTTGATCAGTGGACTGAAAACCAATCAAAAAAATTATCGAATTTCAGTGACGCAAAACTTTTTATAGAATAGAAAATGAAAGGAGCTTTTCAATTATTAATTAGTAAAATCAATTGTAAGTGAAACAAAACCCTATGAAAATTATTTGCTCTATGAAAAATCGCTGGAGTATAACTATTATTTTTTATAAATTAATTACATATATGTACACTATTTGTCTAGTGGAAAAATCCATCTGTTGTAAAAAATATATAGATTAATTAACAGGATCTAAATTTGGCCGAAAAAGTCTCGTTAGTGACGAGTCACTTTTTTAAATTAAAGGAAATTATTTATTATAATAATAATAATACATCAATCGTGTTTTGATAATTTTTGACTGTCAGGTTATTTAATTAAAAGCAAATTTTGAGTAATTTTTTTCACTAATTTTGCATAGGTCGGATGCTAGGAACTCATCAAACAAATCGCGCCGTGCCTATTAATTAAATTTAGACAGTGTTTGCATGGCAATGTAATTAAACAAATTTTCCGCACATCTAATGATATAATAAATCTCAATTTCTGGAGAAGCGAATTGCGTGTTGGATTCGAGTCTGAATCGCACACATTCACACTCGGAACGTCCATTTTTTTCAATGAAAGAAAGCTTTTAGGGCGTATAATAAAGATATAAGAGCTGTCATTGCCGTAATGTACACCGAGACTCTATCTCTTTTGAAGCGGTGTAAAGCTGGGATACAATGCGGGCCGCATGCACACACAGTTAATTGAGTGATGTCTCCAAGTTAGCGATCTGCTTTCTGCAAACACGACTATCCACTCTCCTTAATCCCGCGTCTTATTAAGTCGCGCGCGCAGCGGTTCGCCTCCCCCGGCGGCATCTTGTAGATTAGCTCGGATGACCCTTGGGCTATAACTTATACATCATGAAACATAACTATCACATCAGCAACACACAATGCAGCCGGGCATTAAGAGTTAAGTTCAAGACGCTGTAGTGTGCGCG